CCTCAGAAATGGGGAGCGAGGGATGTGGTGGTCGAAGATTATGTGTCTGGAGTACTCACCGAAAAAGCAAACATTCTAGGTACCTCAGGATTCCTGCTTACCCAAACTGGCGACATTTGCCACTGAGGAAGGAACAAAACTTGAGAAAAGCAAACCTCAGGGCAGTCAGGGTTGGGCATCCCAGCTGGTGAGAGAGGAGACCCGCTCCCGTTTCCAGGGAGACGGAGGGAGATGGGTTATCGGTGACCTCCTAGAATGTCGCAGGTGACAGGTGCTGGGTTTAACACAGCCTACCCTTCGGATGGGAGTGCCTTGATCGAGTGACCAAAAAGCGATGAGGCACTGAATCGTCTTCAGTATTTAAAAAGAACGGATCATGGAATGAAATAATACCCACTGCCTCTGGGCTGTAATGACAAGCTTAGCTGTCCGTCTGTTAAAATCATGTATTTATTTTTCTGACCACTATGTTCTGGTGGGGCTCGCCTCTCTAAGAGTTCTGAACTCCACTGATGCGGTGACGAGGCCGAACCCTCGGAGCCGGAGGAAGGCGCTTGCTGCAGAGCACGTGCAGATTTTATTCCTGTACATGTTGTGATGTAAAAACCCCACCTAAATGGGCCAAAGACTTTTTTTTTCTTTTAAAAGCAAGCAGAAATGAGAACAGACAAAAAAAGCAAAAAGGGATATCTAACCACCACAGCAACAAAAGGCCCTGTTCGTCTGTGTTACGTAGTCAAGGAGGCGTGAGGGGTACAGCCCCTCTGCCTCAGCGAGGCGTAGCTTCCAGTCGAAGCCAGGGCCACTGAAATCATACACTGTTGACCACTGAGCAGTCTGTATTATGATTCACGGGTGAATTCGAGCACAGACGTGTTAGCACTCAGACTTACTTGGGCTTGTCTCTCAGGTTTTAAGTGTTTCCAATGTAATCACTGCTAATCCGTGCAGTTATCAATGCAATTTTATATTCCCTAAAAGGAGGAGGGGTGGGTTTTTACTGTACATGTTGAAAGCAGGAGGTAGGAGTGTGATGTATTTAATTGAATTTGGAATAAGCCATAGTCTTCACGGAGCTGTGGTCTGAATTTGTGATCTTGAATTGGCCATTGCATGTAAATACAATATGCTTTTTTGGATAAATCTTAGAAATGCAGTATGAATGTTATCATTAATAAAAACATTAATCCCAGTCTACCACAGTATTGCTTTCTGTCTCTTTTGTTACACTGATAAGGAGGCTATAGGTCAAGTACCAGGCTCAGGCACTTGGGACAAAGGTGACCGACAAGATATGCAGAAAAGGCCTCGGGTTGGGCAGAGTGGACATCGCTCGATTCACACACCTGACGGAGAAGGGTGGCTGCTAAGAAGGGCTGTGGATTTTGCTGTGCTCATTTGTGCATCCTCACCCTTGCCCCGGGGCTTAGAACAGTGCCTGACACATAATAGGTGCTCAGTAAATACCTGTTAAATACATGAATTCTGTTTTCTCCACAGTTCTTATTGAACACCTACTGTATGCTTAGCTCTGTTCTAGGCACTGGGGATACAGCGGGGACCCCAGAAGGTTCTGGCTGTCGTGGAGATCAAATTTCATTGGGAGAAGGTTGAGAACCAAGGAAACCTCTCAAAGGATCTTAAGGGTTCCTGGGCACTTGTATGGGTGTTGGGGGCGGGTGGGGGAAGAGTAGCTGGCTTGGGGAGGAGGCTGATTTAGAAATGGGTTTGGGGGAATTCCCTGGTGGTCCAGTGGTTAGGACTCCTCGCTTCCTCTGCAGGGGGCCTGGGTTCCATCCCTGGTCAGGGAACTAAGATCCAGCAGGCTGCATGGCCGGAAAAAAAAAAAATGGGTTTGAGCTGAGGCCTGAATGACAAGACAGAGCCGGCCTTGGCCAATCCAACAGGGCCAGAGGAGCATCTCAGAACTGCAGGTGCTCAAAGGTTCCAGGCCTTTGATCCTGCCCGGCATGGTGACACACAGATGGCCACGCACGCCTGACCCATGGGGACTGCTCACTAGAAATGTCTGATGTGTGAAGGAGTGAGCGGTACGGCCTGGGGGTTGATGTGCTTCTCAGGCTATTCTAGCTCTTCACGGTTTTTCACTTGGGTTCTTCAGTTTATATTGCCTACAGTTTGGGAAGCCTGAGTTGCATTCTCAGGCCTGCCCCCAAACTCAGCTGAGTTCAAAAAGATGTGGCTTTTCCAGCCATAAAATTAAGAGTAAGGAGATCCAGGGCTTCCCTGGTGGTGCAGTGGTTGAGAATCTGCCTGCCAATGCAGGGGACACGGGTTCAAGCCCAGGTCTGGGAAGATCCCACATGCCGCGGAGCAACTAGGCCTGTGAGCCACAACTACTGAGCCTGCGCGTCTGGAGCTTATGCTCCGCAACAAGAGAGGCCGCGACAGTGAGAGGCCTGCGCACTGCAATGAAGAGTGGCCCCCGCTCGCCACAACTAGAGAAAGCCCACGCACAGAAACGAAGACCCAACACAGCCAAAAATAAATAAATAAATAAAATTTAAAAAAAAAAGAGTAAGGAGATGCACATGCACATGTGTATGTTGATCTCCAGAGAAAGGGCTGGAAAGATGCACCGCAGACTTCACAGGGATTCCCTCTGAAAGGCAGCGTGATCGCGGATGGTAGGGAACCCAAGGGGACTTCAGCTTTATCTGTAATATTTAATTATTTCGGTAGGAGAGTTTATGTACTGTACAGGTCTTCATCGACCTGTGATAGGGTTAAGTCCTGATAAACCCACAGAAGTCATAAATGCATCTAATAAACCCACCCTACCAAACAGCACAGCCTAGCCTAGCCTACCTGAACTGTGCTCAGAATACTAACATTAGCCTACAGTCGGGCAAAACCATCTAACACAAAGCCTATTTTATAATAATGTGTTGACTGTCTCATGAAATTTATTGATACTGTCCTGAAAGTGAAAAACAGAATGGTGGTAAATGTATCGGTTGTTTATCCTTGTGATTGCGTGTCTGAGAGCTGCCCAGCATCACTAGAAGGGAGCATACATATCCCTAGCTTGGGAAAAGAGCAAAATTCAAAATTTGAAGTTTGGGTCTTCCCTGGTGGTGCAGTGGTTGAGAGTCCGCCTGCTGATGCAGGGGACGCGGGTTCGTGCCCTGGTCCGGGAAGATCCCACATGGCACGGAGCGGCTGGGCCCGTGAGCCATGGCTGCTGAGCCTGCAGGTCTGGTGGTTTCTACTGAATGCGTATCACTTTCCAACCATTATAAAGTTTAAAAATCCTAAATGTCCATTGACAGATGAATGGATAAAGAAAATGTGGTACATATATACAATGGAATATTACACAGCCATTAAACAGAATGAAATAATGCCATTTGCAGCAACATGGATGGACCTGGAGATTATCATACTAAGTGAAGTAAGTCAGAGAAAGACAAATATCATATGAAATCGCTTATATGTGGAATCTAAAAAAAATTAGAATGATACAAATGAACTTATTTACAAAACAGAAACAGACTCACAGACTTAGAGAAGGAATTTATGGTTACTGGGGGGAAGGGTGTGGGGGAGGGATAGATTGGGAGTTTGGGATTGACATGTACACACTGCTATATTTAAAACATAACCAACAAGGACCTACTATAAAAAAAAATCCTAAATTACAGATATTCTGTATAACTAAAGAAAAAATCTGTCCTAATTTTAATCTGAAGAAGCAACTAAAGCTTTCTATGGAGTCCTGCCCTATAGATCATAGGCACACAGGAAATGAATTCTCCAAGAACTGGACAGTATTTCAAGGCAAGTATGTTTGCAATGAACTAGTGGCTGGGAATATATTTTAAGTCGTTCACATGGTAGGAAAATTCCAACAGTGAGAATTTAATTACATTATGTTCTTTTAATGTCAGCTTTTAATGTCCCATTATAATTTTTCAGATAAGAAAGTCCCAGCAACTTAAAGCTGTGCCTTAAATTTCCGGATTGTCGACTGTGCAAAACTTTCTTGCGATTTCTTGAACGCTGAAGTGTACAGCCAAATAGTGCATAGTGCTGGTGTGCCTTGGTTACTACTGTTTGATTTAGGAACGTATTTTTTCAGTGAGATTAGAAAGCGAATGTCTTACTTTTTTTTGTTTTTTTTGGCCGCGCCGAGGGTCTTGAAGGATCTTAGTTCCCCAGCCAGGGACTGAACCCGGGGATTGAACCCTGGGCCTTGGCAGTGAAAGCCCGGAGTCCTTGGGTTGCTTACATTGACAAGAGACGCCTAGTCTTCCTCCCAAGCTCCGGCACCAAGGACCTGAAGTGCACGCTAGGTTGGGAACTTGCATGTGCCGATCCCTGGCCGTCCACCCACCCGCGGTGCTCCGTGGCTGGCCGGGCTCTGTCCTGAGGAGCTGAGGGGCAGAAAAAATACACGGTCAAGATTAAGGTCTGAGGTCAAGCCAGGGAGTCCCAGCCAGCGCTGCCTCAGACTGGCCTGGGGGCTTCTGGTTCCCCACCTGAGCCTGGAGCTGCTGGTCCCGGGAGTGTCCTTCCCCGTCCACCTCCCCTGAACTGGCCGGTCCCTGGCCTCCGGCCCCGACTCCGCCCAGCTCGCCCCGCCCACCACCCTCCAGCACTGTCACGGGGGCCGCCTCCCCCGCCCCCATCCCTGCTTATCCCCTCGCACTTCCGGGACCCGCCCATGCCCCCACTAACTTCTGCGCCCCGCCTTCGCATCACCCCCAACCTCTCCCACCCTCTGACCCCGCCTCACGTGCCCCGCCTCCGCCTCCGCCTCTCCCTGGCCCCGCCCACCTCCGCGAGCCCCGCTTCCGCGAGCCCCTGGCCCTGCCCCAGTCCGTGGCCCCGCCTCCTCCCCAACGGCCAGTTGCTCGGCCCCGCCCTCGCGCTCGGTGCTCTGCCAGCTCCCGGGGCCACAGGTGCGCCGTCTGAGGAGTCCTGACTCGGCGCCTCTCCGGTGCCTGAGACCCCGGCCGCCGTCGGGTTTCCCCGCGATCCCCGGCCCGGCCTCGGGTCTGCAGAGGGGAGGGGGACGGTGGGCCCCCTAGTCAGCCTCGAGGGGGCGGCGGGACCCGCTCTCCAGTCGTCCCCGTCAGGGGCGGCGGGACCTCCAGGTCTGCCCCTCGGGAATGACGGACCTCCGCCCCTTTCAGTCCCAGTCGGCCGGTCGGGCCAGCAGGGCCCCTTCTCCGGTCGGCCTCGCCGGTGCGGGGTGGGGGGTGGCCCCCTAGGCCGGCCTCTCGGGAGCGGCGGGCCCCCCCGGGTGAGATCCCCGGGAGCGGCGGGCCCCCTGGGTCGGCGGCCGGGGCGGGTGGGGGCCGCCGCCTGACTGGGCCGCATCGTTGCAGGTGTGCGGTTCCCGCCGGATCCCCCTCGCGCCGGGTGCGGGGCGATGCCCGGGCCCGGGTGCCCCCAGTGGACATGGAAGAGGCCCCTCTGCTGGGCGGCATGTGCAGCCCCGAGGACGAGATGGTGACAGACCTTTTCAGCGCCGAGAGTCAGTTTGTTCCTGAAAACCTTCCCCTGAAAACCCCGGTGTCGGTGAAGCACGAGGCAGACGAGTTCCACGTCTTCAAAGACGCGTACCTGGGCTCCGCGGACCCCAAAGAGCCCCTGCTGCACGCCTTCAACGCCCCGCTCGACGGGGACTGCAAGGGCAAAGTCAAAGTGGAGCTGCTGGTGGATGAGAACGGAGATGAGGAAACGCGCGGGGAGTTCCCGAGTCTTCCCAAGCTCAATCCCCTGGAAGACGCCGTTCTTCCCGCCGCCCAGCAGCCGCAAGCCTACAACCTCTACTTCCTGTCCTCCCTGCTGACCCCGCACAGGAGTCCTGCCGTCGGGCCCCTGGGCACCTGGGCCAGGGAAGGAGCCGCCCACCCCGGCGTCCGCGTGATTCCAGTAAGATCCACGTCGCACAGTACCCCCTGCACCCCTGCCCTAGTGGGGACGGGAGACTTCCTGCTTCTACCAAGATTTTTCTCTTGTCCGTAGCATCCCTGATCGGATTCACTCATTCCCTGCAGGGCGCATCCCTTGCTAAACGCGAGATGCATTATCCAGCCAAGCCATTCTACCTGAAGGTGAATTAGGTCCTCGGTCCCTGGTTCAAACCCGGCCTAACCCAGCAGAGATCATACAACAAAAGAGGAGGGAAACAAGTAGATTTTTTTTTTTTTGCAGCCAGGCATGTGGGAGCTTAGCTCTGTAGCCAGGGATCCCACCTGTGCCCCTTACAGTGCAAGCGCGGAGCCCTAACCACTGGACCACCAGGGAAGTCCCTAGGAAGTTTTAAAAGCGGCTTTAGGAAAGAAACCCTAGTGTCTGTGAAAACAAATGCAGTGGGAGTCTTCACGTGCCCAGCTTTTACATTTTTCCGCTTTAGATTGATAAGGGTTGTAATTCACAGCCAGGACTCACAGTTAGCACTTGTGTTTGGTGAGCCTTGAAATCAAGGTGTTGGGGCTTCCCTCTGCTAATAAGTGGCTGTTCCTCAAGCGTATGTAACATGAATCAGAGTCTACACGAATTCATGGTAATTGTCCGCCAGCTACCCTCTTTGGCTGTGGATAACTACTGGCAATTTTCTGCTTTGTTTGTTTACCTCTTTATTTTGAACCCGGACACTGGGCAGTGAAAGCACAGAGTCCTAACCACTGGACCGCCAGGGAATTCCCCTTTTCTGCTCTGTTCTTGCTGAAGCTAAACAAATCAGTTTTTAACGGAAACAAAGGATTGTAAGGAAATGTGTACTGGCCCCTCAAAAGGATCTAGTTTGGAAAACTAGATTACTCAGCTGTTAAATCATTTTAGTAAGTCATAAATTAAGCTTTTGTGGAACATTTTTGAATTGGTGTTGAGACGGCTGGAGCCTGACTTTGTTTGCATATCATAGGCCGTAGCAGCAGGAGCTTAGATTTGTTTTCTGGTGTTCTCTGAGCATAATCACTGCTCCTTAGTGCACAGGAAAGGTGGGGAGGAGAGGCTGAGGCCTAGAGAAACCAGAGAGCACACCTAGTCCCACCAGCTTTCAGCTGGTGCAGAGGTCTTCCTCGGAATCTTTTTCAGATGACTTGAAATGTCAGACACTCCATTTTGCTACCAGACCAAACGTGTGTCCCAGCACCGTTTGCCTGTTGGTTCTCGCACGGCTCCCTTCCTGTACCAAGGGGACTCAGTGAGCATTCACCAGAGCAGGAAAGGAACTAGCTCACGTTAAAATAGTAAATTCTCTTTAAATGTAATTCAATTTTAGCAAAATAAAGGAGAGACTATTTGGATGATATTTCTTTGTTTTTTTTGAATTTTTATTGACAATTTCCTAATTCATTAATAAAATGAAAAAGACTTAGCATGGACATGTTTGTCTTTTAAACAGAGTGGAACTATTTTTCAGTAAATATTCAGGGTTAATTGCTAATTTCCTTTTCCTAGAAATTCATTCCCACATATTGACCTCTGTTTATTCTGTAAAAATAGGATTTCACTATACTGTAAGTAGTTCAGATATCAGTTGCATGGGGCTGAGGAATTGATATATTTACTGCATAAGTATTTGTTAATTACAGGGAGATAAGTTAAATCTAAACTTTGATGATGTGGGACTTCCCTGGTGGTCCAGTGGGTAAGACTCTGTGCTCCCAATGCAGGGGGCCTGGGTTCCATCCATGCTTGGGGAACTAGATCTCACATGCCTGCCGAAACTAAGGGTTCCAACGCCACAACAAAGATCCCGCGTGCTGCAACTAAGACCCGGCACAGCCAAAATAAATAAATAAATAAATAATTTTTAAAAATAAAAATAAACTTTGATGATGTGTACATGACAAATTCCCCAAAGCAGAAAGCAGAGGAAAATTGAAAACTTTCTACGTTTCTATAAAATTTGAAATATCTAAATAAAGTTATAACTTGAAATATAGCTAAACTTTCCTCTGTCTTTTGAAACATTTATACCTAGATGCTAGTCTGCTGTGCTAAGGGATTTGGCAGTCCATGAAAACTATTAATTGTTTAGATCCCAGATTTTAAGTTAGACGATCTCCAAGTTTGGAGTCAACACCCACACTTTGAAAGATAGTTGTCTATGCTGTGATTTTATATGAGGTCTTCAGAAAGTTATCACAGAATCACTCTTCTTTGAAGGACTTTATGACCTGCCTCCTGGCCTCTGGGGAAGCTCACCTGTACTCTCTAATAGGCAGTCTGGGCAGGTGGAGGTTAAGGGGGGGAGGGAGAGATGATGTGAGTGCAGGTTGACTGCTGCTTCCCAGTCCTCCGCACATTATCAAATCTTAAAAAGAAGCACCCTGATTTTAAAACACTTAAATCTAAAGGTTATTATTTTTTTAATCATCGAGACTTTTTAGTTTTTTAAATTCTGTTGATTTTCAGTAACATCATTGGTATCTCTCCGTATTTTTGGTAATTTTGCCGGTGTGTCACTGAGTCGTTGCAGAGGATAGCTTAAAAACAAAGTTAAAGTTGGCAGTTATTCCCTACCGTCACTGTTTTCATGTTAATTATTGTCCTACCATTCAGTTAGGGAAGTGCTACTATTTACTTATAAACATTACTCTAAATACATTGTAAGTTACAATATAAAGATTACTGAAACATCAGCAAGGATGTCAGGCTTCTTGATGGAAAAGCCAAACAATAGACTAGAACATTAATACAGCCTAGTGAGTGTGCTCCGAAAGTGGCCATAGAGGAGCAGCATTTCACGCGGTTTTAAGGAAAGTCCCATGAGGCAGCCAGCTCCTTTGGAGTAGGGGGCTGTCGAGGAGCTCAAGGGGCAGCTGACCAACTGCAGAGTCTTCTCAAGCTACTTATACTGTGTTTTTGAAGCCGCAAGAGGGCCACGTTAAAATCACATCTCCACACCTCGTGGGCAGATGGTCCTTGTCCTCGGGGTCCTTGATCCCCAGTGAGGCTGGTCAGAGGACTTGTCACCCCATCTTGCTGCCCCAGAGAGAGAATAATAGTTGGGGAGAGAGGACACTAAGGGTAAGGCTGCTCTTTACTTAAAAAATGTAACTTCTAGGGGGCTTCCCTGGTGGCGCAGTGGTTGAGAGTCCGCCTGCCGATGCGGGGGGGCACGGGTTTGTGACCCGGTCGGGGAGGATACCACGTGCCGCGGGGCGGCTGGGCCCGTGAGCCATGGCCGCTGAGCCTGCGCGTCCCGAGCCTGTGCTCCGCGGCGGGAGAGGCCGCGGCAATAGGAGGCCCGCGTACCGCAAAAAAAAAAAAAAAAAAAAAAAAGTAACTTCTGCAAAGAATTTTCTGTATTATGCAACTGTAAAGTACAACGTCCAAAATGTGATTTCTAAAATAACGTTTGCTTTTTTAGGTTGAAATCAAGGAAGCAGGTGGTACTATCGCAAGTAACAATCTGGAGGAAGCAACTTTTCAGAGCCTTCCGGCCCAGGAGTCCTGTTGCAAGTTCCCAACAGCACAAGAAGCAGAGGATGCCTCTGGGGGCTCTCATAAGAAAGACTCTAACCCAATGGTAATTATGCCAAAGAAAATGTGTCTGACTAACATATCAAATGTTTGACCCTTACCATTACTAAGTCAACAGTAATATATTTTCAGTCATTATTTTTCATTCTGTTTACTTGTCGTATCAGCATTTTTGGTTGTCTTATCTATGAAAAGAGGGATATAATTAGAGCCTTTGTAATGTTTCTGTCACGTCTAAGATTCTCATTTCTACTTGATCTTAGCAAATCAAACAGAGATTAGGACACCGCTCTCTTTGTTAAGGAGAGAAGCCATAAGTGACATCAGTCCGTGCAGACCAGCGGTTGGCCCAGGAACGGGGCAGCTGGCTGAGCTGCATGGTTTGGCATGTTGCTGGGATGGTGAAGCTCCAGTTCTGTGGCTGCAGCACAGAGGCTGCTTTCCTTCCTGCCTGCCTCCAAATTCCTGATACTAACATGCATGTAAGATAGGTAATCAGTAACATTTGTGGTTTATGCGATATTTTTGCATGTTTGTAATTTCATGTAATCCTCTATCAACTCTGTAGGGTATGCATTGTTTTTATCTACGTTTTATGGATAAGAAAACAGAGATGTTACATAGTCTTCTTGTAAGTGGTACGTTGAGGACTCCAGGTCTCGGTGTCATGAGGACTGGGAAGTGGGGGGAGCTAGGGAGCCCAGCCCCAAGCTTTATTTTAGTGGAGCCCGGAGAACCAACATCTGCCGTCCCCCCATCAGCTCCTTATTCCGATAAAGGAGGCCTTAGCCCTAAGGCATATACTTTAACTAGAAAATACTGGAAAATGAGCTTAGCTGTGGCATACGCCAGTACTCGCCTCTGTCCATGGTTCTCAGGCCCATGCGTTCTGAGAGCAGAGCTGTTCCAGGACACCTGGAGCAGGTGAGCAGGATGAGAGCTCCTCCAATTCCACCAGCCTCCTGAGTAATGTTAGAAGGCTCCCAGGAGGCACAGGGCAGAGCCCAGAATTGTGCAATAGGCAGAGGTCTGGAAGGTCCACTCTGAGCCTTTCCCCCCAGTTTGTGCACCTGTGTGTCTGTGGCTATAACTTTATCCTCCACATACAAATAAAATTCCAACCAAACATGAATGCTGGCCTCTTATCCACCGTCAGGATGATCTGAAGGTTTGACCCAGTGATCAGCACCTCATTAACGTAGGCTCTGTGTGTGTTATTTTGGTAACATTGATCCTTTATGGTTATTTGGGTTTTCCTGTCTAGGAAACCCAAAGGCAACCTAACAGCAGAAGCCATAGCTTCTCTGGGTATCTGTGGTTTTACCGTCCGAATTAGAAGCTATGTGCAAGCAGAAACAGTGACTTCTCTCACCTTCATGTTCAAGCTGCATCCCTGTGGACAGGGCTGACTGGTGTGGTTGACCGGCCAACTCACCCGGCTCACTGAGGACGTATTTATGGTCGGAGCCCAACTAGGTGATCTTAGGGTTAACCTTTCTAAAGCGCACTTGTAGGAAATGAAATAAGTGGGTATTTTAAAAACACCCTACATGTTAACTAATAACATGTGCATGTGGCAGGAAAGAACAGCTGCCGTAAAATTGACGATTATTCTAAGTATCTGGTCAGCTACAGAGATGGAGTCAGGGGGGCAAAGTCCTTCGTATAGTTCACTGGACCTGAATGGGGCCGGGTCTGGATCGGCACACTCTCTCCGTTTACGATGACCACGGAGCACGTGGACAGGTGACAGAAGCTCGGGCTCACAGTCACCTGTTCCCTACCCTAAACCTCAAGGGCCAGACACCCGCAGAGAAAGGCGTGAGCAGGAACTTCTCTTAACACACTAAGCACATCTCACAAGACATTTCCCAGGGGTTTTGCCCTGTGGTACCTCCAGAGAGCACGTTATTGCAGGGTAGGAAACTGAGAACATGTCTATAGTTAACCGCTTTCCATGAAAACTTAAATTCTGGATTAAAACTGTGTTCTCAGATTTAAGTTTACTTAGGTTCATATTACTGGATATCTTTTGAAAAATGAAACCTGATCATTATTTTTCATTTTAGGTGATATATCAGTTGAAAGGGGGTACACAAATGCTGTGTGTAGACAATTGTGGCACAAGAGAACTAAAAGCACTTCATTTGGTTCCTCAGTATCAAGACCAAAATAATTATCTACAGTCAGGTACAAAGTAAATTAATAGAAAAATATGTCATATATCACATGGAAGTTGGTAAGTGACTATGTTTGGCTTTGTATAGAGAGTAAAAGTGAACTTGGCAGTGAGGCAATGTGGCAATCCCCATAGCCCGTATGAGTGAGCTAAGAATAGAAAAAAATATCTTTAGAGATTAACTTATGTGCATTGTACTGACAATCTCAAATTCTTGGATAGCTTTCCTCTCCTTCTGCTAGTTGCAGAGAGCTTTGTGATCCTACCAGGTGACTACTTGTACCCACGAGTGCTGTGGATAGAGGTACCTGGGTTGAAACATCAAGCTTTCGCAGATTGGGCGGCGGGTTGACTGTTCAGATGTGGTAAAAACTGCATATGTTTCAATGTAAACGTTTTCCTGTAGTCAGTGAGAACTGCCACCCTACTTTAATCACCATGAGTTCTGAAATGACTATATCAAATGCTGATTTATCTGCCATTCAGTTACTCAGAATCGTCTTTAAACTGGTGCGATAGTAATAAATGATCTATAAGTACTTGATTACCATCAAATGACTTAGGAATGATTAAAGAAAGGCCAAATGACACAGTTTTAGGATTGTGTTTACAAAGGTTAGATATTAATACTTGAAAACTGGGCCCCTATGTGTACTGTATACATAATTGCGTTACTCTAAAGCTTGGCCTAACCAGAGCCTCTCATTATCAGATGATTCACGGACCTTGTCAATAATTTAAATCAGTATTACATCCAAATGTCATATCAACGGGCCTTTGGAGCCCAGTGCAAAAAGAAAGAGTGTGACTCCCATTCCATCCTGGTGGTCTCTTTATCCAGGGACAGGGAACATGCCTTTCAGACATTTACTTTTCTATGGTGCAGAGCGCCTTCAGGAGCGCTTTGCTGCACACCAGCCACGGCTTCTCCGGCTCCGTTCCCTGCGGGTCAGAGCTGCATCTGCTCCTCTACAGGCAGAGAAGGGTTCTTTCCTAATTCCCTTCCTTCTGGAACACAACAAAATCCTAATGCCTTTAGATCACCTACAGAAGGAAGATTTACATAATGCTCTCCAAGTCTATTTCCTTGTCATGTCATCATAACTGCCCCCCCAGCCCAGTCTCCTTTGTTTTGCTGTGCACACATTAAATATCACCATAAAATAAATGCATTCTGTTACCGAAGTCTTAAGGTTACATCATTCAAAGAATGCACAAGCCTGGAGCAGGAAATGTGTTCAGCTGGTGGGCAATCAGGAGACTAAGACACATTTCTCTGGCCACTTTGACTCAAACATAGAGTTTCACAGGGACCTTAGTGTCTCAGGGATGTTTTGCACGGCACCCTGAGGCCAAAGAATACCTATCGGTTCCAGTCTTAAGTAGTTTGGTCCCAGTAGCCTAATAAGTATTTACATCCTGATTAGTTAGTAACCATTTGAAGAAGAGTGCAGGTAAATTGAAAGTAGTTCATGTGGCGTCCTACAGATGGTGCTGTGCTCTCCTTGAAAATGTGACATGCCTAGCGCGTCCCTGGTGAGTTCGGGGCAGCACTGCAGGGCACCTTAGCGCACAGCTTGGGAACCTGGGCACTGACAGCATTTTTTAGCATAGCTATCCCTGGAAGCTCGAGTGAAGTAGCATTATGACAAAGAAAAGGGTGTAATAAGTAAAAACAACAACAAAAAAAACCAAAAACATTGACCAGAAAGGTTTTATAGAAAACATAAATAGGATCAAGATAAGTGGCAATGACTTTGCACATGTCCAACTCAGGATACATGGTCATTTTTGTACTTTCTTCCATGTGCAAGTGGGAGAGGAACAATATATGCTATCAATTAATTGTAATTGTCTTCCTTACAGATGTCCCTAAACCCATGACTACTTTAGTAGGAAGATTTTTGCCAGTACCAGCAAATTTAAATCTCATTACACAACAAGTGAGTCATTGTTTTAATAAAAAAAAATACAATAGGGGGCTTCCCTGGTGGCGCAGTGGTTGACAGTCCGCCTGCCGATGCAGGGGACACGGGTTCGTGCCCCGGTCCGGGAAGATTCCGCGTGCCGCGGAGCGGCTGGGCCCGTGAGCCATGGCCGCTGAGCCTGCACTTCCGGAGCCTGTGCTCCGCAACGGGAGAGGCCACAACAGTGAGAGGCCCGCGTACCGCAAAAAAAAAAAAAGTTTAAAACGCTTTTATGATTACACCATAATATGCATAGATTAAATATAATTATAAGAAAAATGTGCTCTTTTCCTTAAGTCTTGTTTTTTTTTTAATTTTTCAGTTTTGACAGTCTAGGGTTGTATTTTTTTAAATTAATTAATGTATGTATTATTTATTTTTGGCTACGTTGGGTCTTTGTGGCTGCGCACGGGCTTTCTCTAGTTGCGGCGAGCGGGGGGCTACTCTTCGCTGCGGTGCGCGGGCTTCTCATTGCTGTGGCTCATTGCGCAGAGGTGGCATTTAAAGCCACGAGACTAGAGGAGATCTCTGAGGCAGTGGGTATAAATAGAGTGAAATATTTGCTGAGTGAGTAAATAAATACTTCTCGAATGAAGTATTTATTAGCCAGGAGGGGCAAGGAGTTAATCAGGGCCGGAGATGAATGTCAGCCTGATGCTATGAGCGCCTGATGCAAGTCTCTGTTGATGCTGCACGTAGGCCTCTACCTCCTTGCCTCCTCCACACCACCCGTCTTGTTTTGCTAATGGTTTCAGCCCCAGTCAGCAAGGCACACGTTGGACTTGCTTTTCTACCACTGAACTCGTGCACTGAAAGGCCCCTTTGGACCATAGTCTCCCTCTTTCTGCCCCTCCCCTCTTTTCCTTGGCTGTGTTTAGACCTACCTCATTTTGGCTCCTCTGACCTCTTATCCAGTGTGGACCTTGGGGTAATTATTTTAGCAATGCCTTTGCTGCAACCCTAGAACCCCGGCTTCCTTGCCAAACCCCGATTCTGTATATTCTTCAGCTCTTTGCTACTCAAAGTGCGTGCGGTGTGTGGACCAGGAGCGTGGGCATCACTAGGAAGCTTGTTAGAAATGCAGGATCTCGGGCTCCACCCCAGACTCACTGACACAGAAACTGCATTTTAGCAAGATCCCCAGGTGACATGACGGGGAAGCACCCTCTTAGGTTTTATTTCTTCCATCCTAGGCAGTTCGACATTGCCGAGGAAAGTCATGGATTCTAGTATAAAGCTGCCCTAGATTTACCACCTATGTAGTACTGAAAAGACATCTCTCTTTCTCTGCTTTACTTTGGGGCTAAATAAGCAAAGGAGAAAAAGAGCAATTGTATCTGGTTTATGTGAAACAGGAATAAAGACACAGACTTACTAGAGAATGGACTTGAGGCTATGGGGAGGGGGAAGGGTAAACGGTGACAAAGCGATAAAGAGGCATGGACATATATACACTACCAAATGTAAGGTAGATAGCTAGTGGGAAGCAGCCGCATAGCACAGGGAGATCAGCTCGGTGCTTTGTGACCGCCTGGAGGGGTGGGATAGGGAGGGTGGGAGGGAGGGAGACGCAAGCGGGAAGAGATATGGGAACATATGTATATATATAACTGATTCATTTTGTTGTGAAGCTGAAACTAATATACCATTGTAAAGCAATTATACTCCAATAAAGATGTTTAAAAAGAAAAAAAAAAAAAAAAAAAAGAAAAGAATTGTCTCAACCCCAAGGACTGTGAAATCCTTTCTTCAAAAGAATGCAAAACTTTGGACTGCCACCTGGAGATGTTGGCCCAATAATTAGGTGTCTGGGTGACTGCAAAGGAAACAGTTGCAGTAACCTGTGAACACTTCCCTCCAGTAAAGTGAGTGAGAGGAGAGCAGAGCCCCCCAGCTCTCGGCCAGACCCAACAGGGCAGGTCCTGGGGGTGACTTCTCAGTGGGACTCGGGGTTTGGGGTGGGGGGCGGATTTGTAATGAAGGAGTTGGACCCAGAGCGGTTTCTCAGTGTCTTCAGGCCCCAACAGGGATTACACACTATTTAAAAACAGGCAGAAGAGAGAAAAGAAGGAAGATGAATAAAATGTGTTTTTCTAAGACCATGCTTTTTCTTTCTTTCTTTTTTTTTTGGCCTCACGCTTGTGGGATCTTAGTTTCCCAACCAGGGATTGAACCCAGGCCCTCGGCAGTGAAAGCACGGAGTCCTAAGTCCTAATTCCCTGGACCGCCAGGGAATTCCAAGACTGTGCTTCTTAAATAAAGCTTATTTTTAAATTTCAAGTTTTCAGGGACAAGGATAGGATGTTTAACTGTGATATATACAAATAATCTCAAAACCTAAATTTATTCAACACTTTAAATTTCTTCAAGCTTCTGATAAGAAGAAAATTAGGTCAGTGTTGATTATGCTACCCTTTCCTTTCCCTGTGAGCCATGCTAATGGATAATATAAAGGAAAATGAGAACGGAGAAAGCAAAGGACATGGATGATGCAGAGATTATGACATTGCTTTTGAATTTGTTAAAATTGACTACAAAATTTTTTATGACTAGATGAAAAAGTAATGGTTGCCAATGAGACTTCAGATGTCAAGATCTCTTGTGTTGTACTAAGAATATAATAATAATTAAAGAACATTTTTAGCTTACAGAAATTTGTAGTTGAATTTATTTCACAGTTGGTAGTTCATCAAAATGAAAAAGATGCCCATTGCAATGCCGCCGGCCAGCCCACCGACAGCTGTGTGTACTGCTTGCCAGCTTGTGGATGGCCCGGCCCAGAATCCATAGCCCACTTCCGTCTCTGTCCACAGTCAGGGCTGTCTCACCCCAGGGCATCCTGTGGTCAGGCGGGGTGAGATGACTGGGCTGGGCTCCTCCCACTTCTGCTGAAAAGCCTTGGCTGGAACCTGCTCAGGTGTTAGCAGAATCATGGTGGTAATAAGGCCTGGATGAATGTAAAGGGATTGTGATGTAAACCTCTAGAAGAAAAAGAATCATTTTTATCTGTACCTAGGGGCTGACGGGAATAAACTCAAAATGTATACTAATTCAAATCATGCTTGCCTTTGACTTTACACAGCTTGATAATGGAGCCTTACCATCCGTAGTCAACGGGTCTGCTTTCCCTTTGGGATCAACTCCTCCAGGACCACCAAAAATGACTTCGGCTAGGTAAGGATTAAAAGCAATCAATTGTCACTTACTTTAATGTAAGAGTTTAAGAGGCTCTTGGGTACATTTGTGATTTTTTTCCTGAGTTTTAAAATTAGTTTTACCTGAAAACCTTTATGACTTCTAAAATATGATGTTTATATTCAGCAGTGCACTAACAGTGTTGCTGCGCATGTCTGGTTTGTGGCTGCTGGAAAGACTGGTCTGTAACCTCCATTTGCTTCCACTCTCCGTCCACTGTCCGCTGTCATTGTTTCAGAGACTTGCTGCCGTTCCTAGCTCTGTCTTGAGCTCACGTTGATTTAAACTTAGCTGCCGTTTCTTTTTTGCTGTCATCAGCATAAGTAATGGTGTGGCAGTCACTTAATGTCACTTAATGTCGACGGCAGTCTTTATGTGCCTTTATGGCTGCCTCTGCCCGCTGCCTTCCCTGTTCTGTCAGTTCACGTTCAATGGCAGGGGCCGAGGCACACAGTCTCCAGGTGGACGTGGCTGCTCTTATCTGGGGCTTCGTCTTGCCATTTTAAAGTCATGTCTATAATCGTAACTAATTAAACTAACCAAGCCGGTTGAAACTCTTTGTTGAGTTAAAGAGTAACATTCATGTGCTATTAGTAGATGGGGCAGCCCTTTCTGTTCACGGAACCCTTTCGTTGGTGATGCAGATCAGTCTCTTCCTGCCTTCCGAAGTTTTGGGGCACACAGCCTAATGCAGATGTACATCTGAGGACCCGAAAGAAGTCAGGGCAGGCAATTTAGGAAACGTAGACTGTAGCCTCTGGAGCCTCCGGGCTCCTGAAGTGTCCACCATCAGGCACATCCCCACCGCGGCGCTGCTGAGTGTGAGGACGGTTGTCCGGGGCAGTGTGAGAGGCTCAGGTGGAGTTCTGGAGACTGGCTGGGATTCAGTCGACACTCCACCTCCGCGACGTTGCTGAAGAGTGTCGGTTGCTCGTGTGACTTGCTGCTTCGGTCTTAGCTGTTGGTTGCGGAGCTGGTCAATGACTCTCACTTAATTTGATGGACTAAGACTATAGGAGCCTTTCTCCTGCCTCCACTCTTGCGCCATGGATCAGCGAGGGTATGGCTGCTGTCGCTGTACTTGGTTCTAGAATCACGGCTCTTAATGTTTCTGGACAAAACAACTCTGTGGGCAGCCTCTAGATTCTGCTGCTATGTAATACTGCCAGCATAGTGTTACACCGTGTACCCAGGGCGTTACTGTCCTGAAGATACTCACTTCATCTTTCTTGTCATCTGGGAGCATCTGGCCAACAGTATTGCACCACCATGTGCTTTAGCGTGTCTAGCGCATTCAAGGGAATTTGGTGTTTCTAACACTTTAGTTCAAGTGTGTGCTCTCAGAGCTACAGTGCCATTTGAGGTTTCTCTGTGTTGCAGCTGGTACACGTTTCCACAGAGGAGCAGTCGTGAGGAAGTTTTCACTGCAGTGTATTTCTCCTTTTTCCCACCCTCCCCCTGCCTTCTTCCCAGTCTCTACTAGGTTTTCTCTAGTGTGAAGGAATTATGCAGGTCATAAAATATTTTTCTATTATAAATGATGTGCCAGGAACAACATGAGCTTTGTTTTTGTATTTTTTTGCTGCAAATAATTACTTGATGTCACACCACTGAACCAGCCAGATGATTTTCATCTCAACATCCATGGTACTGACGGTGTGCTGGAATCTCTACCAATTTATTATTTGTGGTGAGGGAGCTGTCAGAAAACTGTTTGCTGCCTGTCTCATTCTGTATGAGTTCCCAACCACAACTAATTGGCTAGACCTCTTTATCTCTTTGTTAGGCTTTTTTTTTTTTTTTTTAAACTTCCACGAGATAAGAGGGTCAAGCTAGGTCTGAAGACATCAGAAAGGAAATTCTGTCAGCCCAATACTGTTTAAACGTTCTAAAATAGTAGATGACGTAAAAGCAGGCCAGCTTGGGCCTTACGGCCTGCAGTCCATATGGGTGAATTCATCCAATCGTCATTCTTTAGAGATAGGTGGTGAACTGGCTAACTTATTAACTACCTTATCATATGAATAAAAATTCACGTCCTGTCACTCTGCATAGCTTTAATAATCTGATTATCAGTCAGGCGTTAATGTGAATTTTGTTACATCATTGAGGCCTTTATTTTTGGTGACATAATGAACATTATAATATGCAAGAGTCCGCTTCTCTGGAAATTTTTTCTTAAAGATAAGGTCATATCTCAACTGTGGTACAGTTTATTTATAATACTTTTCTGAGGCAGAGTTGTCCAGATCTCTTCTAACCCTTTGCTCTTCAGATTGGCAAAAAGAGTAGTCAAACATTATTAGAGCCATGGAAGTTTTTTCCCAGTTTAGTCCATTACAAGGAACTTGTCCCTTTACTGTCCCCTCAGGCGCTCTATGCTCATCCCTGATGTGGTGTCTTTGCTCGTGCTGTTATTTCAACTGAAACATCCTTTTGTTGAATAACAAAAAACTTCACACCCTTGAAAGTCAATGTCAAGTTCTACTTCTTACAGAAGTAGTTTGTTTTGTTTTTACATCTCTATTAAACTGCCCCTGAATTTTGTGTCATTTACAATCAGTATCATATAATTTGATAGTTGATTATATAATATCTTCTGTTCTCTAATTTTTCAATTGTATATATCATCTCACGTCCCAAATTATTTGGTGGATTCCTCTAGAACAGGCACTGTAAATTTAAAAATATATATATTTTTTGGTGTTCCCCTGAAGCTCTTATGACAGTCCTGGCCACATGGTGATCTCTTAGTCAGTGCCTGTTGGCATCTTCCTGACACTGTAGGTACTCAGTGACTTGTCCTCTCTGCTTCCACAATTGTGGCAGGTCACCACTGGAGTGTCTCCATGAACCTCCACCTCATTCTTAAAGAGAAGAGTTTTGGTTCCTCTGGACAGGTAGTGCCAGGCCACCCCGTGCCCCATTTTAGAGGCAGGGCTGAGGGCAAGAGCAGTGAAGTCTGTGTGCATGTCCCCTTCCCCTGAACAGCCCATGTGTGATCCAGGGTGGGTGGGCCAGGAGCAGTGTAGCCAGATCTGCCACCTCCAGGCACCCATGAGAATAGAAGGCTGCAACTCTCCTCTCTCTAAAGGAGAGAACTAGACTAGGCGAAGAATAAATTAATATAGCATTCAGTGACATAGTATAGGGACATTATTTTAAAAACGAGAGACATCTCCAGAAGAAGTAACACTTAGCAGCTCACCCAGGAGTCAGTTACCATTTGCTGTTTCAAATGGGGGAGGACGGGGTCACGAAACAGAAGCAGAGCCGGTGAGAAGAGTGGCGGAGCCCTGATGACCGAAGCAGCCAGAGCAGAGGGGAGGGTGGGCTGAGCTGAGGCTTAGACTGACCTCAGCCCTGACTGGAGACGGTTGTGTTTGTGAGGGCACGGAGCACAGGCCGAGGGTAGTTCCCATGCTCCGTGGGGTGACAGGGGACTGTCAGCAAGCCCTGTGTGTGCCAAGCACTATAGCAGCTCCTGTAGGAAACCCGAGACCAGGATGTGTCCCTGCCCGGAAGCAGCCAGTGGTTGCAGAGGCGAAGCCTGCACACGCCGTCTCGGGGAGCAGGTGGCTGAACTCGAGGGAGGGAGGGAGGGAGAGCCCCAGTCACAGCCGGGGTTTTGACACGTGTGCGCCTTCTCATCCCCACATCTACCCACCGCCTCACGTGGCCAACATCCCAAGTCCCCTCAGAAGCAACACTTCTAAGCAGCCCTTGGGAACTTGTCCCGGTTTCTTAACCCACAGCCGCCTCTCAGGTTTAGCTGCCTCCAACGCACACTCATCTCTCCTCCTCCTGCGCCCTTGGAGATGGCTTCTAGGCTAATCCCCAAAGGAATGGTGAGGAGGGAGGTCCCCAATGCCCACATGACACATTCCAAACACGCTTTGATACTGGTGGTAATCCTAGTTGGACAGCTCTAACAATGTGAACAGCCGTTTATCTGCTAGTCTTTAATTCCTACTTTTCGTTAGCGTCTGATTCTGGAAAATACAGAAAATAAAACTAAAAAGCTATTTGGTGTGGGGAGCCACACACAGTAGAGGTTTAAACAGATCAGTGGAAGAAACTCGGGGAAGGCTTCTCGGGGAGCAGACAGCGATAGGGTCCCTGGACGTGCAGCTGGACCTGGCCAGGCTCGCGCCCCCACGTGTGAATGTGCGTGCCACACCCCCTCCTGATGAGGCACCGATAAATAACACCTGTAACTCTGTGGTGTTGGGATTTTCAGTATTCGTTCAAAAACACCAGATGCTTAGCTAATTCTCTTTTTAAAGAGTAACGATCTGAATACATTTTCTTTTTTAATCTTTATAGAGTAACTGTTAGTTCATGGGACACAGAGTCTAAAAAGCCATGTAACTGTACCAAATCACAGTGTCTGAAATTGTAAGTAATCCCAAATCCTTCATTATTAAATAGAAATAAGGTCGTTTAGAAGTCAGTAAGTGGAGCAGAGTCCAGACAGACCTGAATGGCTAGTAGCGTGTAGGTTACAGTTGAGACTCAACAGCTGGGTCCTGACGCTCCTTGTAAACCAGAGCAACAAGAAGCCACACTTTTTGCATAAACCTGGCTGGGATCTTTTGGTGTTATCTTGACCAACTAACCTAGGAAAGGACCTCAAGTGGTGTGATTTTCTTGGATTTAGGTTTACCTTGTTTAGCGCCCCAGACAAGTGCTAAACACGGCATCCTTGTTGAGCATTAACTGTAACATTTCCACCTCCTAGTTTTTAAAAGTTTGATGCATTGGTTTACTCTATATTGAATTCCTCTTAGAAACATTCTCCCCCAGGGATGCCAGCTCCCTGGAGGCTCGCTCAGCAGCGTGGTAGGGCAGGTTGTGAAGCAGAATCATGGGCTGGGGTGGGTGGTGTGGCTGAAATAGGAAGCGGACCAGCCACCCCGACTGACGGCACCGTCCCCACCCTGTCACGCGGACACTCTCACTGGTGTGGTCTGCCGCTC